AAAAAATGGTCAAAAAATTCCATGGACTATAACTATATGTATTTKATTTTTATTTACTTTTGGTGACAATAAACACAGAAAACTTTTTCATTTGAAAAGTAATTTTATTTGAAATTAAATACCTTCTGAGAATTAGTTACTGATGTTTTATTTTGGGCAATATTATCAGAATGTTAGCATACCCTTTTGAAGTATTTGACTAACATTCATCATTAAGCTAGCCTAAATATTAATCATCAAACAACTTCAGAAGGTCTAAAAAAGGTATAAGTAATTAAGTTATCTTTTAAAGATTAAAAATATTTTATTAGTTTGTGTATTTTTGGAAACTTCTTCCTATGATTTTAATTTATACTTTTTTTTTATTGTATTTTATACTTGAAACTTTATTTACTTTGTCCTCTGTAGCTTTCAGATTTCAGACAATATGTGATTTGAGTATCTTGAAAATACACATGAATATGCAGAACTTACCATATTTCCTCTATGAAGCCCCTAACCTCTATTAAGCCCCCCTTCTATGAAGCTCCCAGTACATTTAAGCGCATGCACAGAGGTGCCAAAAACTAAATAAGCTCCCAGCCTCTTATAAGCCCCCATCACTAAAGCCGGTATTTGGTCCTTTTTCCTTGGCAGGCCTCTGCGAGTCATTTTACCTGTTGTGAGTTTATAAATAAAAATAATTATGAATTCCCAGAGATCATAAAAGTTTATTACTATTTATTACTGCTATTTGTATAAACATGTAAAGTCGCTAGCTGCGACCTGTACCCTAAAATTTTGTTTTTCACTGCCATCAATCAAAAGTAATCAGTTTACCAGTACCTTTCTAAGTTTTGACTGGCAGCAGCGAAAAACCAAATTTTGGCATGCAGCTCACAGCTACAGAGTTTGCATGTTSATGAAAATAGCAGTAATAAGACCTCAAGTCTAAAAGCACTGGAAAAATTAGCCCCCATGGGGATTAAATAGAGGAAACATAGTATGATGAATAATCTTATACTCAAAAAAAACATGCATGTGGTCTGAAATGGTGTAGCTTCAGAAAATATTTATGCATCACCTATGGAGTGGGATTGGAATTTCCAAGGGGTGGGGAGGGACTTATGAGATTACATTGTGTAATTCCAAAAACTATCCATACCTCCTCCATGAGGAGAAATTGGAGTTTCCAGGCGGTTTGGGAAGGTCTGAGGGTATATTTTGTATAACTTGCTGAAACATCCAGAGCAACACTACTCACTTAAATCAATTCTAACAGAGCATCAAGATGTTCAACTGCATAAGGGTGACTGCTCTTGTATTCCTTCAAGGCTTTCCTGGTAGCTTTAGCATTAGTGTTGTAAAGACCTTTATAACCATTGAGTTTGGCAGCAACAAAGGAATCCATCAGCTCTTCATCAGACATGTGTTGGAAATGCTGCATGAGTTGGGGAGACTGTCGTAATCGGTATTTTTGATGGTAACTAAAGAAAGTACAAAGAGAGGGAAAAAATCTAATCTTAGAACTATAATTATGACCTCTATTAAGTGGCCATCCTCTGGGAATCGTGAAGTGGTCACTGAAAAGAGGGTAGTCATTCAATAGATAAGTTATAAAGTACTAGGAAAACTTCTTTGGGACTCTGATAACAGGTCCCGGTTGTACRAGGGGGAAGGCACTTATCCAACTGATAAATCTTATCCATTGGATAAATTATTTATTGGATAACGCTTTGCATCCCTTTATCCACTGGATAAGGATTTATCCATCGGATAGCACAATCCACCCTTCGTACAACTTTACCCTGGTTGATAAATAGAGGTTGGCCACTCTACTCATATGCACCTTTATTTTTTAGTGCCATTTTGGGGCAATAGTTCATTTAGAAAAGTATCAGGCTCATTGGATATTGGGGAAGGAGGAGTGGGAGAAAGATGACAGGAAAATCCAATATCTGAATTCTCTATGACTTGTACGGCATGGGACTCAAATTCCTGGGTAAGGAAACACTCATGTCAAAAAATCTCATTGATGGAAGGATTATAGATATTTATAAAATAACTGTTATGAATGTCGCGTTCTGATTGGCTTGGAGCGCGTGCTTTATGAGAGCACATTGCATGTGCATGCACTTTCCGTTGCGTCACTAAAATAACGGTTATTGTAATTTGTATTTCATAAAAGAAATAAAAAACTTGCTTGTTGTGCTGTGCCGTTATAAAGCACTTGGGGATTGGCAGAACACTCGAGAAGTGTCCAGAAGCACTCCRCTAAGCGTTGTGCTTCTCCTAACACTTCTCCCGTGTTCTGCCAACCCCCGTGTGCTTTATGATTGCACACAGCACATGCGCTCGTTTTCTATTTCTTCAATATTATCTGAAAGTATGCATTTATATCTCATTAAAACATGGCATTTACCCCTCAGCATTATAGAACTGTGAAGCGTCTTCCACTTTTGTCAGTATCTTGCGTTTCATTTTCTTCTGTTTTTCCTTTATGAACTTTTGGGCAATTTTTCTCTGTTTCTCATTGTGAACAAATATAACAGACCTGTACTGTGCTGTTTGGGGCTCTGTTGGGTCATGTAAAGACCAGAAGATTTCTAGAAGGCGTTTGTAGCTAACCTGCGAAGGGTTGAACTGGATTTGGATTGCTTCTGTGTGATCACCACTATCAAAGAAAGAACATTTACTGTAAACTACCAATACTCCATTTTACAGTTCCATTCAGTGGCCACGAATAATAGTTCCTAGCCGAGGCTGGAGTTTCCGAGCATTGCAAAACTACAGTTTATCTTGCGCATTAACTCCAGCCTTGGCTAGGAACTATTATTCGTGGTCACTGAATGGAACTGTAAAATGGACGGAGTATTGATTAGAATGTTCTTGATATACGTGGATGTGGGAGCCAACATATGGGACTATAATCGCTTATCAATCCTCCCTTTTTTTACCAATATAACAATACTTCATGTAACATAAGCCATGGTCATTCATGTGCCTACCAGAGATTGATTGGATTTAATCAGAGTCCCCCCCCTCCTCCCCGTGGCCCCTCCACCTAAGTAGACTACCCCACCCCTAAAAAGGCTTGCAAGGTCTAAAGATATCTCATTATGGAATTGTTTTAAAATCATAATCTTCTTTAATTAACCTACAGTGATCTATAAGTAGGATTCAATGTGTTTCCTCCAGTGTACCCTACGCGAGTTCTCTGGACACCCATTATAGCACCATAACGGGCATCCGGACCCCAAAATCAGTTAGCACCAAACGTTGCTACCTCCAAGTTTGAAGCTATACCAAAATGAACGTCTCCCTTGGGCGAAAACTCTCCACATGTGAGCTGGAAAATGCTTAAAAATATCAAAAGATTGAAAACCAAACGCTCCATCTTGACCTCTGATAAAACGTTAAAAAAACACTGGAAGACTGGGTTCTAAGAAAAAACATCACYGCTATGGGAGGGGAGGGTTATACTTTGTTTTAATAAATATAATAATTACTTAATTTAAAGCATTATAATCTTAATATATATCTTTTAAATAAATCACAAAATATAAATATATCATGTTGTATATTTAAAGAAATAAGCTTTTTAAAGCTTTAAAGTGTTATCCAAGAATAAAATCAATAACTTACCCTTCTCTCCCCGTGTTAGTATTTTTGCGGTTAAAGCCTGGCCGCTCAGCTGCCAACTCAGTAAGAAAAAAAACAAAACGATACAAGAAAAGTTTGTTGTAAAAATCCTCTAAAAATGGCTTTTATTTCAGATTTCTTGATTGCAGCGTAAGTATCTTTTATTTATCAATAATTTTTGTACATAAATTGCCTGTTTTCGTGTAATTTTTTTCTAACTTTAAAGACGATCACTACAAATTAAACTCGCCAAAAAAATAAATCGACCTATGCATTCATGAATAAGCAGATTTTCTTGAAATTTTATATAACTCTATATTCGACTTTAAATCTAAATAAAATATATCATACACAAGAATACGTTGGTTAGTTTGCTTTGTGTTGAAATGGTCAGATGCCATGAGGTTGTCATTCCCAAAGGAATCTTTATTTCACTCCTATTTAAAATACTGTATGTGTCTCTGTAGATCCTATGGTTAGAAAAAATGGATTTTAAAAAATCTGACGAGAGTAAGSTATAAACTTGATATCTTAAATTAAGGGGAAGGGATGGGGTGGTCCTAGATTGTTGAAAGTCTTGCTTTACCACTGTTTTCATTGCAACGCATTGATAACAGTCGTAACATGGAAATTGGCAATACACTGCCATCAATCAAACCACTCATTTGAGTACATAAAGATTTATGGGGTCCATAGAAGGAGGTACATGGGAAAATACTCTAACCATATTGATTTATTTGATTGATGGTAGTCTGTTGCCCAATTTTTGTTGAGACTATTTCTCAAATCTGATACCTTTAGTAAGTTTTTATATCACAAATTTAACTATATGTACTTTAATCTCTATCTTACAGGACATTATTGATAAATGCTTGTGCTGTTCTAAACTTCAAACTGTAAGTAAATCCGTCTTTGTGATACTGGTATTACAGCTGTATATAGACAAACTAGCAGACTATTACAAATGCTGCATTATGATTGGCTACCTTACGATAGGTCTATTAGCGCGATAGTCCAGTATTTATCCAAAAGGAATTTGAAACAATYGATCTTATTTTATAGGAAAAAGAAATCCCCAACAGATTCATTTGGTGAGGAGGTACAAGAGCCAACTCTTGGTAAGTCGTAAAGTTTAGTTCAGATCTCGATCTTATTTGGTAGTAAAACCAAGCAAATTCAAAATTGTTGCTGTTAAATTACAAGATCTTTTCACCCATCTTTATAATAGAGATGTTACACATTGTCAAGCATGTACGACACATGAAAAACTTTTTGAAAATGTGCTTGTATTGTGCTGTCGTCACATGCAAGGTCTCTAAATATGCAATCATAATTGCTTCTAACGTCTGAGATTTCAGTTTCATTCAATGGAAAAGCTAAGTCATGATATATATAATGTTTTGAAAGAAGCTGAAACTACAGACGATTGGAATATATTCTAGCTTTAGGTTCATGCCATATAATAGACTAGTTTTCAAATTCATACAAGACTTTTATCAGCTGACAGAAGACCAGCACTAATAAAGCAATGCATCTCTTTATCTCTTTATAGGTGAAAAGTTTAGAGAGTTTTTGTTAAACTTGAGATATTTCAGAATATTCATTGGAATTTGGAATGTTGCAATGATGATATGTATGATAATGTAAGTACTGCATTTTGCTTACCGTATTTTCTTTCTCTTTCAATATCATTGTTTGGTGGACAATGTCAAGCCAAAATTGGCACTTGTCTGCCCAAACACCTCTCAAGCCAATCCTTTTCACCAGTCAATTTGATTGACCATGTGTCACAGCGTGTCCAGCCATYGTAGAGCAGCCATTATTTTTATCCCTTTTATCCAATGTCATACATACCTATTTCAAAAAAAATTGCCTCACGCACCAACCCAAAGTCATTCCTGCCCAGCTATTTTTGGATCTTGGCGATGACAATTTTAAAATATGTAATACATATATCTAATGCACAATTCTTATCCCCTTACATGCTCCACTTTTCATCAGTTCCTCTCCCTCACTTTCCCCTCACCAAAGCTTCAGTGCTGTAACCATTGCTAACTCTTTCTTTCTTTTCAATTTAAAGAATCTTTGGGTCGTGATGTGGAGTACGTCAAATTTCTAAATTATTAATAAGATTTTGTCCAACCCTGCTGTTATATGGAAAGCTTAATCAACTGCTGAATTGACTGGGTGTTAATATTCAAGAAAGAGGGCAGCCTAGACCAGTGATATCTTAGGGGCTTTGGTAAAAAAATATGAGGGYGCATTTTCAAGAGCTCCTTTAGGTGAGCCCTGTTGAACTGAGCTACATATTAGAAGTAAAAAATAAAGAATTTTACCTTATCACAACAGAGTTAGGCTCCAAACTATTTGAAAGCTCAAAGAYCGAATTGGAATAGGAAAGTTGGTTTTACTGGAGGGAGGGAACTTGGAGATACACCCTTGAAGCAATTCAATTACTCATACACAACAATTATTATTCTTGGGAATACGACACCAAGTCTGGAATCAAACATGAGTTTTGTTGGTGTGAGGTGATGCAATAGTAGCTCACACCACACCACACCACACCTTTTATCCTTTTTAATGAAACTTCAAGTACAAGTAAATTTAGATTAAAATTTTAGATGGAGAACCTCCAAAACTTGATTTTGATGTAGACTGGTTGTAATTAAGAATACATTTATGACTGTAAGCCCTGTCACTAATAGAGGCTTTGCACCATTGCATGACGGCAGCCATGTTAGATGGCATGAAGAATGCAATAGTTTTACATGAGAAAGAACTCAATTCCCAAGAGCAATGGGATTTTATTGTTCTGCCATCTAACCACCGGCAGTCCAAGCTGTATTATTGTCACTGGCATGTAATGGTGCAAAGCCTCTATGGTTTAAACAAGTAGCCTCCTTTTAAATAGAAATAATTGTACAAAGATACCAAAAGAATTTTGTAAAAAATGGTAATATGATAATATTAAAATCTAGTATAGAACAAGATATCTTTAAGGTTTATTTTGGTGTCATAATCATTAAATAAAAAATTATTACAAATGTTGTAGACATTTATGAGTCTCCTTGTGATGAGTTGACTGCTCGGCAACTGTTAGTTTTAAATAAAAGGTTCATGTTTAATTATTTCTGTCAAAGTAGCAGTTTCCAAATCAAATGTATGTGAGTAGATCTATAGCTGCATATTTGTTCTCTCACATCTGCTTCCAGGAMAAATGCAGGCTTTCTGGGATACTGTCCGTGACATGGGTGTCCATGACCATTATATAGGTGTCCATATCATAGACGTGTTTGTCTTAATGTCCATAATATAGATGACCTTATTAAAGAGGTGTCCACATGATAGACTATGGGATGAAATAATCAGTATCACATCCCAATCGATTTACTTACGACTTTATACCCACGACGCACGATAACATAGGCGATTTTTGCGGCGATTTAGGAAGCGAATTTTGCGGCGATTTTTGAAAATACAATTTWAAAAATTTCTCATGCTTCTAGTAAATAGACTTTTGTCCTGCACGAGCTAATCCTTTACCATTCTTGACTATGTCCACAATGTCGCAAAAATCTAGCCTGCGTGCATCTGAACACGTTTATAGACAGACCATTCTCATAAAGAGTTTGTTCCCTGTGTTTAGTAAACAGTAATAATTAGGACCACACAAAGAACAACGTATTCCCAAGAGGTCAGTACTTAACGCTGATCATTCCCTCATTGTTTTACTACATTGAAGTAAAGTTTATCTGGCGTCATTGGAGATGGTAAGCGTATGTACATCGTACAGTYCGTGTGTTTTGATAGAAATTTGGATATGTTGACCGTATGAAAACACAGAAGCGTGCGTATAAATCAAGACGAAAAAAATCCTGTACATATCACATGTAGCGTTTTCAAGATCTTAAAGTAAGTCAAAACTCTTTTATCATTCCTAATTTTACGTTAATAACTAGAATAATCTTAGAGTTACTACGGGTTTAATTAATTRTTTACAGAATGCAATGATTTTTGAATGCTATGGGATGCAGAAAAATATAATCAATTTGAAGAACACACGTAAAGGTTAATCAAATTGTTTAGAGACTAAAGGCCATTCTATTAATTCAGTAGAAAGGAGTGCTGTGTGATTGTTCCTAAAAGTTTTGTTGATACGACCCGTTGCTAAGCACTTTTGGTAAACCAATCTAAATCTGGCCTCACTCTATCAAAGTATATCAAAGTTCATCTGTCATCTCGAGCTCGGGAACTTTCACAGTGATATTCAGTTCAAGACTGACTTTATTTCTAGTCATTGCACATTCCGAGTCAAAAAAAAGTTTTAAAAACGAATTGCAAACGCAAGGATTTTTCTAAGAAAAAATCCTGAAGTTTTTAACAAAAAATCCTATTTTATGAATCCTAAGTTGGTTATTTTTCTTCGATTTAGTAATTCGTAAGTAAAATATTATTAGAAAAAAWATATATCTTCCATATTTTTCAATCCAAAAAAGATGTCTAGTTGTCTTTGACCGTATTTCTGCTTCAGTGAACTCAAATTTGTAGAAGTTCGAGTAACTTTCTAAATGACGGCATCCCGTACCCCAGTCTAAACAATAGCTCTAACACTTCAAATCACGTTCTTTCAGGTATTATCTTGGACAAGAAAAACCTAAGTAATGCTAAGGTTCAAACAACAATCTCGGAGAGATCACGTGGTGAGTCTCTTACCACCCATCTCCGTCATCAAGAACAAGGAACCTTCAGTACAAGAAAGAATCTATTCCGACGACCCTCCTCCCATAGCGTACACTGGCAGCTTYCCTGCTAAAGTTCTTCGACATCTTGACAAAAGCACATTCTATTCTACGCCAACAAAAGGTGAAACGTTGCTGGCGAAGAAGACAATGCATGACGAAGAGCGAAGAACAGAAGGAATAAATGATGTGATAAGAACAGAGGATAAAGACAGCCGCAACGATCATGATAAGAAAAATAAAGCTATCAAAAGTAAAATAAAAAAGAAAGGAATAGTGAGGAAAGTAGATGGAATGATGAAAGAGGATGAAGTACGTTGTTCTAGTGCGCCTGGGTTTAGACAAAAAGAGCAACGCCGAGAACTACCGCTAGAAACAGGTAATCTAACAGCTCCGGTAACACCACGCTTCAACGCGCCCATAATCGATACAAGAAAAAGCGCGCGGAAAACCTCAAGGGTTTACACACCAACACGATCCACAACTCCAAGGGGATTCGCTTCTCCGGACTTAGGAAGCGCAGAACAGGATACAGAGGTAGTGCTTGAGCTACGAGGTGATAGAATCGAAGCGGCTTCCCTTGTTAAGGACTTCTGGGTAGACAGTACCCCAACATCACGTGTCGGCACACCGTGTAGACTTGACTGGCATGGACGAATACCAGAACAAGGCGCGAGCAGTACTAGACCAAAAGTAAGATCAGCTATAAGAGAAGTTCCGTGCGCACAAAAGAGAATAGAAAAAATCCCGAGAACCGCCAAAGTTTGAAATCCGTGCTGTTGGGTTTTCGTTGCCTTTCCATGAAAAAAGCGAATCGAATTCCACTCCGAGGACGAAGGAAAGGAAGAATGATACCAAGGTAATTATGAAGGATAAAGCGATTAAGATACCGAGAGCTGAAGGAGAAAGTCTATCATTGTCAAGTTTAACCACGGTTACAGAAACAGAAGCAGACGATACTAGTACTACTATAGATAATAAAGAAAGAAGTCCGAAGGGCGAGACTGATTCGGCTCAAGAATCAACACCAAAAGAAAATAATAACTCACAAGAGAATGAACAAACAGAAAGCAAAGAAAATACAAACGAGGAATGCAATACCAAACAAAAATTATCGAATGAAGACGCAGGAAATGAACCGAACGAAAATAAGGAAAACGTTGTAAAATGCAGTGAAAAACTAGAAGAGTCACTAAAGGAACCAGACAATGAAAATGGAAATGAAATTGAGAAAGAAAATGGGAAAGAAAATGGGAAAGAAAATGGGAAAGAAAATGGGAAAGAAAATGGGAAAGAAAATGGGAAAGAAAATGGGAAAGAAAATGGGAAAGAAAATGAGAAAGGAAATGAAAGTGGGAATGATAATGAAAATGAACAGAATGAGCCTAAAATGGAAAATGAGAATGATATCATGAAAGAAGAGAAAAAGAGAAATTAATAATTAAAAATAAGTGGACGTAGAGATTCGAAAACTAAAGGCTGTAAGAAGTAACTCCTATTTAAGTTCAAAAATTTCAAACTTCATTTTTTAATGATTTGATGGAAGGATTAAACAAATAAATAAATGAAGTAACAATTTTGTTTTCTGCAAATCTTTTATGTGTTTCTGGATTCACTATCCTTTGCTTGCCTTTGTACTCTTCTTACTTTATTCTTATTCATTTGATAATTCCTTCTCCTCAACTAGAAACATTGAATATCAAATATTATAGTTGTTAACATGACATTCAAACTAAGTGAATGGTTCCAGTTTTGCTGGGTTTTAATCGGCTAATAAAAGTCTTTGGATTTTATTATCTGCTCCAAATGGTGGGCAAACACTTACCACAATGACTGTTAGCCAGAAAGAATTCYATTGAAAACTTGTGATTCAGTTGATGAAAATTGCATAATAGAAGGCTAATGATGTCTAGTGATACCAAGAAATAGTATTGAAACATATGCTCTCCATTCAATGGGTTAAAAATTTTACCTAGCCTCCTATGCAGACATTCTTAGTGTCTGTCACRCAACATTAGGGAAACGTTGTGTGACAGACACTAACAACGTCTGCGTAGGATGCTAAATTTTACCATGCCTTTATGAATTCTTTTTAATCAAGTTTGTCCACGATCTTTGATCAAAGTCTCCATCATCATCTTCAATTTGGTAAATTTTCTTTGGTTTCTCAGGCTTTAGTCTGCGCAATCTTTCTTTTCTTTCCTCTTCTGTCAATGTTGATGGATCAACTGGCAGTCTTATCAGTTTGAGAGGCTCATGGTATCTTATGGTGTATGATGAGCCATCAGGCTGGACAAGTCTTACTTTATACATTCTTGGGTATGTGGATTTTTTTAGTCTGGTTATCGATGCACTACAAGTGCTGTGGAGAAAAAAATTTCTTGATAAGACAATGATGATATGTATTAGAGTGAGGGCAACATTAGATTTCAATTCAGCCCCCCGCCCCAACCCCCCTTCCTCCCACTGYGTCCTCAACTGGGACTTTTTTCCGATGATAAATATTCATTATTTATGAAATTGTTCKTGGCAAATTGGCAAGTTGAAAGTAAATATTTTCTTAATTCTTTTTCAAAGATTTTTTTWATAGAAAACATCATGTTATACAATACACTAAGGGACTGGTCATAAAGTATAGGGGGGGGGGGGGGGAGGGGGGCAAAATCAGAATAGAATCAGTGTTTTTTGGCTCATCATAAAATGATGCTGAAAATGGGATGACCCAACCCCAGTTTAGAATCAAAATTACAGATAACCCACCCCTGAAAAAATCTAAATCCCAAAAGAATTTTCTTGGTTGCACACGTCAACCACTTATTGTAACATTGACTGTTTCGGCTTCTTCTTTCTCAGTCATCGTTTTCCTCACTATCAGTAATTCCTATTTCATGAGTAACAATGTCAGTTTCTTCGTCACTATCCAAATCTTCAGTATCCTCATCAGTTTCCTCACATAAAGTATCATCATCTTCAGTGTCCTTGCGTGAAGTACCATCTTCTTCATGCTCTTTTTCCGTTGTACTTGTCGTAGTATTTAAAAACTGCATAGACAGCCAAGCATTTATTACTTGGACTTTCTCACTTTTGTACATTTTTGCGCTTGAGCAAGTTGTGCTTTTTTAAAAAGAGGTCCAAGTTTGCAACCCTCTTGTATGTCTTTCCAGTCATAGTCTTTGTATGCTTTGAGTTTCTCTTCCTTATTTTTTCTTTTCATTTGCCCTTTTAATTTTTTTCATTTGAATGTACTACAGATGTTTTACATACTTCCTAACTAGATCCTCTGGAACTGCAAATTTCCTTGAGAAATTCTGATGATGACAATTATAATACTACTCTATTTTGTAATGGCCCACCCTCTTTAGTTGTCAAATTTTATCAACAGCCCACCCCTTTGAAGGAGTTCAAAATTATGTGACCCACCCCCTGATTTTGCCCCACCCCCTATACTTTATGACCAGTTCCTAATCATGTTTACCTTTGAGGTCTTGAAGTATTAGCAGCAGCATTCTGTTGAAAATATAAACATCATATATAAAAAAAATAATGCATAATAAAAAGTCATACGCCATGTAAATGATGTTTGAAGTCACCTACATAATATATTTGACTACAACATCCAAAGTAACTTTGAAGAGTTCTGCTTCTCTGGAGGACTGTTTCTAGTCTGTGAAAACAAGCAAGAAAAAACAAGAGAATATTAATRAAAAAAAGGAACCGCAAAAGATAGGCTTACGTGTTAAGTATTCTGGGTTATTTGACTTAAAAACTATAAGAGAATTTGGAGAAAATTTCAGTAAAATAGGAGAAACTTTGTTATACCTCGCAAACATGACAGCAGCCATTTTGAATGTGATTATAAATGGGTATCCACTGGTCTGGTATCGCAGATTCACCACAGAAAGCCCWACGCAAAAAGATAAAACAGTATATTTTTACATGGCAAAATTTTTGAAATAAAATTTGTTTATATAACACTAGATACTACCTTTGTTGGATTCATGATTTAAATTATTGAAATTTAGTTGATTTTTAATGGATAAATTTGGATCGTAGGAATTAGTCGCATTGGGGTTCCTGTGGAATTCGATGTCAATCGCTGTCGTCGTCGTACACTGTATGCAAGTCTTGTGACTTGTATCACAGAAAACATGTGAGGGAGGCATGAATGACTCCACAAACAAAACAACTTGCGGTTTGTCAAAACCAAGGACTCGATCTCTTCTAGACAAGGATCGTTTGATATTAAACCGGTTTGTAGAGGGCGCACAGGAAAATAATCGTGAACTAATCAAGACGTAGTCAATAATATTGAACTTTTTGAGTCCACAAAGAATAAATTTACGACAGCTATACTATAAGTTACCCGGCTTGGAACCATGGCATTGACTTTACAAATTTTCCTTATTCTTATATTTGGATCTATTGTTTGCCAAGGTAAGTTTTTATTAAAATATATTAACCAATTATTGGATAAGTCGGAGAGCATCTTGCCTGATCTTGAAGTAAAATTATCTTATTTGTGAGCTTAGATAATTATTTAAGCTTATTGTTATTTATTTTTGTGGAAATCTGGACTTTCACATCTGATTTTCTTCTCATAAATTCTTGCTTGAGCTTTTATGATAATGTATTAGGATTGTACTTGCCTGGATGATTGTATGATTTATTGGATGAATGGACCATATGACACACAAAGAGCGCAGCTGTTACATAATCACTGTTTAATTAACTTTATGCTTATTATTAATTAGTGATCTATGAGGAAGCCTGACTGACTTGTTAACTGACAAACTAAATGACTGACTGATTGAGACTGATTGGTCTATGGACTGACTGACTGACCAACTGACTGACTGACTGTTGACTGACTGACTGACTGACTGACTGACTGACTGACTGACTGACTGACTGACTGACTGACTGACTGACTGACTGACTGACTGACTGACCAACTGACTTACTGACTCTGCACTAGAAGATACATAAGGCTGTCTGTAACTACACTGCATAGACAGCATTGTTAGTCCTCTGCCATGTTTGATTGACATAAAGGAATAAATAAAATTATAATTCTTTCTAGGAAACAAAGTCATTGAGGTGCTTACAGATGCAGATGGTGACATGCATATTGAAGTAGGACACTCAGGCCACTTTGGAGTATATTTAAAAGCAAAGTATGTTGTACTTAATAAACAGGGCTCTATTCAGTAACACATTTATATGATTTCAATGGAGTTGATACCAATAGCGCTTACCAGTAATAATAAGTTATTCAATATATTATTATCAACAGTTATCCCGTTGAAAACTTGGATTTGATTGCAAATTTTACTAGTAGCAAACCTGGCATTGCAAACCTGTCCAAGGAAGAAGTAAGTCCATGCCTCAACTTTGAATTATCTAGAAGTATTATTGTTATTATACATTGTTATAAAATGTCTTTATGGTGCTAATCCAAAGCATTATGGAAAAGGAATTTTAGTAGTTTGCATACTGCCTGGCATGAGTGGATTTAAGGAATATTTTTGATTTTCCTTTGAACCATGTCACCAGACACATAGCTTCCTTTTACATGTCAGCAGTGAGGTTTGCCTGATGCTGAATGTTCTGCCCCCCCTTCCTCCCTCCTTTCTCAGATTCCTGGATCCTTCCCTGCCCCCCTCCCTCCTTTCTCAGATTCCTGGATCCTTCCCTGCCCCCCTCCCTCCTTTCTCNCCCTCCTTTCTCAGATTCCTGGATCCTTCCCTGCCCCCCTCCCTCCTTTCTCAGATTCCTGGATCCTTCCCTGCCCCCCCTGCCTACTTTCTCAGATTCCTGGATTCTTCCCTGTCTGCTACAAAACAAAAAGGAAAAACAAGGTGTATTTTTCTGGAATTTTGCAGTCAATGTTATATTCTATCATTTACCTCCAGGTTAGCATTTTTTCAAACAGTAAGGAAGATCCATGTTATGTAAAATTTCATGGACTAAAGGTTGGCAAGGCAACTGTAACTGTGAAAAATGCAACACTTGTCAATGAAAGCCATTCAAACACTTCGATAAAGTAAGTTATTTGTACCAGGAATCACTGTCAGCATAGCAGTAAAAGATGCATTTTTCAAAATTATTATTATTTTACTTTTCTGTTTTGCTTGAAGCTGTACGTGTTATGTCAACCAATCACTTTTGACCCCCACCACAAAAAGTTAACAGGGATTTTAAATGCCGGAGCGAGAATGCTGAATGCAATAACCTCTGGGCCCCAGGGTAGGGTTTAGTTTGTTAACCCAATATTTTTGCTATTAGGTATGATGGCATCAAAGTAGTTGTGAGAGTAGTACATTTCCCTCCCCTGATAATCATTAATGCTGTCATCGGCTGGATCTACTTCGTGGCTTGGTCAGTTTCCTTCTACCCACAGGTACATGTACAATAACTTAAATTTTGAAAGTCATACAACTTTTTTTAGCTATAAATGAACTTCTGCTGAACTTCACATTACCAACCTGACCACTTTTCAACGCTCGATAGGATCACATGAATTGTATGTTAGACATACATTATTAAAAAAAGAATTTTCTTTTGACTTAACAGGTGTACTTGAATTGGAAACGAAAAAGGTAGAAACAAAATTCTTTTCACTCATCAATATCAATGCTTATTACAGTCATTCTCAATGTCACCATCAGTGTCATCTTGCCGTAGATGACTTGCACTAACAGGTCATGTGACCCCATCCTGGTAATGCTTTTGCCATCCAGTGCATATTCCCATACAAATCCTTATAAAACTTTCAATTTTATATCTAAAGCCATTTCTCCTGTTTCACTTATTATGAGCTGGAACTC